AGATGGACAATTGCTAGAGACATTTTTCAAATATACCTTGATGAAAAAATGACTCTAAAAAGGAATTTTAGGGAACATACTCAGAGAGTTAGTATAACTACTGATACATGGACCTCTATTCAGAGGATAAATTACATGTGCATTACTGCTCATTTCATAGATCATCAGTGGAAGCTCAAGAAAAAAATAATTTCCTTTGTCCCTGTCACCTCTCACAAAGGGGAGTACCTTGCTAAAGCCCTAGAGAATTGCTTACTTGATTGGGGTCTGAAAAGTATTTTTACTGTGACTGTTGATAATGCTAGTAGTAATGATACACCTGTTGGTTTTTTCAAGAAAAAATTAGTAGCCTCAGGTGCTTCTTCTGTAAAAGTAAAGTATGTTCATATGCGTTGCATTGCACACATCTTGAACTTAGCAGTACAAGATGGTCTTAAAGATTCAGACACTTCAGTCATGAGAGTTAGGGAAGCTGTTAAGTATGTTAGGAACTCACTTGCTAGGCTTCTAAAGTTCAAAGATATATCTGATTTGATAGGAGTGGAAGCCAAGAGTGGTCTACACCTGGATGTTCCAACTAGATGGAATTCCACTTACCTGATGCTAAAATCTGCAGTTTGTAATGAGAAAGTGTTTGAAGCCTATGAGGAGAATGAATCTGCATATAGTACTGATTTGGGTTCTGACATGCCTGATATTTTAGATTGGATTGTTGTTGAATCTTTTGTGACCATTCTAAAACATTTTTATGAAATGACACTAAGAATTTCAGGCTCACTATATGTTACTTCCAATACCTTTTTTTCTGAAATTTCTGACTTGTTACTTGTCCTCAAAGATATGGTTGCCTCTCCAACTGCTTCTGTCAGTGCCATGGGGAGTACTATGAAATCAAAACTAGACAAGTACTGGGGTGATCCTGAAAAGATGAACTATCTAATCTTCTATGCTAATGTCTTAGATCCTAGGGACAAGTTTGAGTATATGCCATTTTAGCTAAATGCTTTATATGGTGATAAAAAAGGGGTGGTTTTTTTCTAAAAGTGAAGTCAGGTCTAACTGAGTTATTTGTTGATTATGTTTCAAGTTACCCTGACTGTGTTGGTGGAAGTTCTAATACAACTTTTACTTCTGGAGCATCTATGGAGTGTGGTAATTATGAAAATAGGCCTGTGTCCAGGTTTAAGGCTGATCTTAAAAAGAAGAAGCTTGAGAGTGGTCAGCTAGGAGTTAAAAAATCTGAACTTGATATATATTTAGCTGAGTCCATAATTGAGGAAGATGGGGACTTTGATATTCTAAGATGGTGGAAGTTAAATAGTGAAAGGTTTCCTATACTTTCCAAGATGGCTAGGGATGTACTTGGTGTTCCCATTTCCACAGTTGCTTCTGAGTCCACTTTCAGTACAAGTGGTAGGGTTTTGGACTGTTTTAGAAGTTCATTAAGTTGTAAAATTGTGGAAGCCCTTATTTGTGCACAAGATTGGTTGAGATTGACTCACCAGCCTATCTCAGTTGAAGAAAACATTGATGAAGTAGAGAGACTGGAAAAAGGTATAACTTTTATAGTTTTATGTGTTTTCATGTATTATTTGCTTATTATGAATCTTCTTGTTTATATTTCATAATTCTAACAATTGTCTTTGTTTGTTATAGAAATAATGGATGGAAATGTTGGTGGTAGAACTGCTGCTCCTACAGGATCCTCTATTGTGCCATTAAGTGTAGATTTTCTATATTTTTATTGTACATGACTCTCTGATTTGGCATTGGCTATGATGAAGCTTCCACTCATTACTGCATTTAGGGTTTAGGGTTGGTGTTGCTCTTTCAGTTCATAAAATGGTAAGTTGTAACTGAAATTGTAGCAGATGCCCCCTATTTCCCTTTATGAATGATAAAAAGCATTCTGAGCTATATGAAATGTCTGGTTTCATTCATTAATTTCATAATTTGTCCTTGTAACATTTGTAACTTTTAGTTGTGTCATCACATGTTTTTAATTGCAAGTGTTGGTGACCTGGTGTTGTACCTGCTGGTCCTTCTGCATCCTATACTGTCCCATAAGCCCATTACTCATTACCCCCCATTCTCTGATACTCCCATATGCCCATTACTTGATATATATTGAAAATGTTCGAAGCTGTTAAGTATATGTAAATATGTAATACACAGTATAGATGTTTAATACTTCAATGCAAATATATATTGCATGAACTGTGTACTAATTTAGCTCACTATCACTGGTATATTTTTGTTGTACATGTGAATCCCTATACATATGTATAATGTATTATGTGCTCATTACATTTGAATGAGTATGATTTTGTCATTCTGGAAAGCATGCACATGCAGCCAACTGTCCCTGGACCCTTGTCCCTTGATCTGATTTTCAGGTTTTGCGTAAGTATCTCATTATCCCATTCATCCTTGATTCTATCATTTATATTACTTTTCATTGGCTATGATGAAGGTTCCACACATTACTGAATGTATGGTTTAGGGTTGGTATAGCTCTTTCAGTTCATAACATCTAAGTTTTGACTGAAATTGTAGCAGTTGCCCCTGTATTCCTTGTGAAGGATAACAAGTATTCTGAGCCACTGATTTTTCTAATTTGTTTCATTAACTTATCCTTGTTATTGTACTACATGTATATTGATTTACATGTGTTCATTAACTTATCTTTGTTATTGTACATATGCAGGGGGAATCTTGAAGGTGTGGAAAATGGTTGTACGTGGAACTGTGGAAGTGTGGAATTTGAATTGTTCAAGCAATGACCCTGACTGGACTGCCTGAGTGGATGTATTGATTTTGCTTAGTTGGAACTTGGAACTTTGCCACTTTGGATGTTAATTACTTGTAATTAAGTAATTAATGCCAAAACTCTATGTTACAATTTTGATCCCCTCCCTAAGCTACTCTGTTACTTAATGACTTGTAATTGAGTAATTTGGTAATTTGAATATCTGGTATCATATGCACATTTTGTATGGGAATCATTTTTTTTTTTGCAATTTCATTGGATTACACTTATATTTACAGTTGTGAAAGTAAAACCGAATTGACCCGATATCCGAACCGAACCCGCCCTACCCGAAATGCAAAAAACCCCGAAAATATACAAGTTAAAAAACCTAGGGTAGGGCATCCATATTACACAACTGAAACCCGAAAGGGTATTGGTTTTACCCACCAGCCCGACCCGAACCCGCCCGATGCTCACCCCTAGCGGTGGTAACCGCCCGTACTTGTTATTGATCGGATCGAGAAATTGTAACAATTATCAGTCGGGTTAGGTAACTGTAACTGGTTGAATAACTATTGGGTTAGGTAACTGGAACTGGTCTTGAAACTGTAATTGATTTGTCTGGTCGGGTCATGTAACTATAATTGGTCGGGTTAGGTAACTTTAACTAGTCGGGTAATTGTTCGGGTCAGGTAACTATAACTGGAGCAGTAGTAATTGGAACAGTGGTCACTTGAGCGGTAGTAACTAGAACGGTGGTAACTGGAATAGTAGTAACTGAGACCAATGATCACTGGAACGGTAGTAACTGGGATCGGTTGTCACTGAAGCGGTAGTAACTGAGACAAATTTCACAAAAAAATTGTTGTAATAATTTAAATATTTAAGACTTTATATTTCCATATCCAAATATTTATTTTTAGAAATAATATTAAAATTAAAAGAAACATTAATTTTTAGTTTGTAATGTTTGGCAGGTGCATTGTTAGGCATTGCACTTTGACGCCGTATAGTTATCAACGTACAGAATGCAATGTAACGCAGTTGTTGACTTATGAAGGGTAATATGGAAAACTAAATGTTAAGTAGTCATATTTTTGGAAAATATAAAAAAAGGTCACTTATTTGGAAACTATATCTTTTTTAGTAATATTGGTGTCAAAACCCCGCTAAATAATTCGAGCTCGGTTTGAGCTCGAGTCGAATTTTGATGAATAATTTTTAAAGTTTGGGCTCGAATAAGATACTTGAACTTAAGCTCAAACTCAAGCTAAAAATAGAATTTGTATTTTCCAAATTATTAAAATTACATTTATGCATACAAATAAATAAATAATACGCAGTATCTAATATTTATACTTAATCATTACTCGTATCATTTTTTAGTTTCTCTCTCCTTCACTCACATTTTTACTCCTTATTTTACTATCAATTAAATTTTAAAATATACAAATAAATAAGCATCAATAAATAAATAAATGTTGATATACACACGAATCAATATATATATAATCATATATATATAATTATTATTAATTTTTGCTTTATTTATTTGTTTTTACGTTTACTTTGCTTACTTACTTATTTATTTCTTCATTATTTATTTATTTTTTTAATTATTTTTAATTATTTTTTAATTATTTATTTACATTTTTTTCATTTATATATTATGGCTTGCAAGCTCATGAGTTTAAAGTAATCTTGTAATTGAGCTTGAGTTCGGCTCGTTTGCTTAACGAGCCAGCTCGAGCTCGGCTCTTGTTTGACCGAAATCGTGTTGAGTTTTGAATGAGTGGCTCACGAGTGGCTTGACACGTTTGCACCTCTAATGACTGGTAATTTAGCTAGGCATTACTCCCTCCCATCCTTGTAACTTTGCCAAAACTTTGATACATAGAATAAAAAATTTAAAATTGTGCAATTAAAAATTATTGAGAAGAATGAGAATTAATATAGAAATCACAAATTCTTTATTTAGAAGAGATTATTAAGGGTTTTTTCCTTGAATATTACTTAATCAAAGTCAATTTCCAAAAATTTGATCATTTTTATAAAAGGACAAAAATGTGACTAAGGAGGTCATATATTTGGAAAAACATGATGTCACTGTGAAATTTTTATGGCACTGCCAAATTCTTACGTTACTTTTGAACGTCACTACGAAAATTTAAGTTACTACCAGAATTTTATGTCACTTTTCCCGGTGACTTTTTTTGGCATAACAATAGCCATCCCACACCCCACCGACATCACCATCCCACCACTACTCATTGCTCACCTTCAATCAAAATCACAACAACGATTCTCAAGCAACATCATGTGAAATTCCTAATCCAACGGCAACTAGTTATCTCTTCTGTGAGCTTCGGATTTGCTATGACAACCTAAGTGCCAAACTTTCTTCGCCGGCGGTTGCTCCATGCCTCTCTCACAATCGGACATAAATAGAAGAAATAGAAGGCAAAACTCTTTGGGGGTATGGCGATGGAGAGCTTTGTCAATCAGTGAAGGGGATTACAGAGAAGGCGCAGGGAAAGAGAGAAAATTGACGGAAGGCGCAGAGGATTGGAGGGAGATAGGATGGGGGAAAGATAGAAGGCGTAGATCGACGGACTCGGCAAACGAGTAAGGTCACTTTTGTGTCTAGACAAAAAGTAGTCATTTTTTTGTCCATCTAAACTCTCTAAGCGATATTTTTGTAATTGTTTCAATTATCAATATTAGCGGGGAAAAAATGAAAGTTGTCAAAGTTATAAGTGACAAGAGAGTATGATATTAAAATTAGGAGTATCTACATGGCTAGTTATAGTTGCACTAAACTCGTTTTATGGTTAGCGATTCATATCATTCTTTCAATGATCGTTTTTATGTCAAATTTTAGAGCTTGTAATCGTATTTGATGGAGGATAATGATACTTAGTAATGGGTTTCTCGTAACAATCGTGATTCAAATTATATCAATATAAGTTATTTCTAATAAAAAATGCCAAGAAAATACTCTGTATAATTTGATTCGTTAGATCATCTCGAATGCTTCAATATAGACGATGCACATGTGACTTGAGAGAGATAGACACATGAATATTAATGAGTAATATAACTCTCCTTGTTTAAATGTCTCATATCTTCTCGGTAATTGTTTCTCATCATTGTTAAGACGAATGTCTAGATTTAGATATTATTGTTGACATCATTCTAAAAAGTAATGAAAATTATGTAAAACAGCGAAAAAAGAAAGAGAAAACATGAATGATTTATTTTTGTATTTCTATTTCTCTTGAGTTAATACGGTGTATTGTAAAAGAGAAAAGGAACATGAAGTGAGAAAAAGGGTGCGGTGACCAATGAGCTCCCGCGACTTGTAGAATGCTCTAGAACCATGTCACCATGTCTGGGTGAGTAACCCCAAGTTCACCCGAGAGGCTTCTAGACTCTTCAGCCGAATCCAGCATCAAACAGTGAAATCCTCAACATCGAATCCCAGCCGTCCATGCGCGCTATAAAGTCTCCAATCATCATAATCTTGCATTCCAGCCTTCCAGGAGTCTCATTTCTGCTAATCTTTGAATTTGAAGAGGAAGAGTAAGAAGCTTGAAAATGTTCGGAAGAGGACCAAAGAAGAGCGACAATACGCGGTACTATGACATTCTGGGCGTCTCCAAGAACGCAAGTGTGGATGAAATAAAAAAGGCCTATCGTAAAGCCGCCATCAAGAACCACCCTGATAAGGGCGGTGATCCTGAAAAGGTACAACGGCTGCTTCTACTTCTTAAGCATTTCCTTCTTCCTTTTTGAATTTCTCAGATGATTTCCTGCAAAACAGTTATAATGTGTAATCTAATGTACCCCAATTGTAGGTACATTGTCTCTAGATGTGATGATATCCAACCATTGTTGCTAGAAGATTGTGAAACTGGCAAAACACTTGTACTTGATTTTCATTAAACAAATTTGAAGATTATATTTATACACACAAATAATCAGAGCACAACATTCATAAAAGTAGTTTTCATAAATTCAGGGAATTATTAATCAAGGTTCCATTGCTGATTTTCTCCATAAATTTGGAAAAAGCAGTCAAAAAATATGCAGAGTAGCGTTTACTGTCATGACTCATGGCCTGTATAATACATTAAAACTTATACTTCGAGATCTTGTGCTGAATATATGTATTCGTTGTTCATATACACATCCAGTTCAAGGAGCTTGCACAAGCTTACGAGGTTCTGGGCAATCCAGAGAAGCGGGAGATATACGATGAGTATGGGGAGGATGCGCTGAAGGAAGGAATGGGCGGTGGTGAAGGAATGCAAGACCCATTTGACATCTTCCAGTCTTTCTTTGGTGGCGGAAGCCCTTTCGGAGGTAATTCAGTAGCTGATTTTACTTGAAATGTGTGGCATTCATCGAATTTGATCAAAAAAATGGTGAACAGGTGGTGGTAGCGGCAGAGGAAGAAGGCAGAGGAGAGGAGATGACGTGATTCATCCGATGAAGGTCTCTCTCGAGGATCTCTACAATGGAACAACCAAAAAGCTCTCCCTCTCCCGCAATGTGATTTGCTCAAAGTGCAACGGAAAAGGGTCGAAATCGGGAGCTTCAACGAAGTGTGGCGGTTGCGAAGGTTCCGGAATGAAGGTTACGATCCGCCAACTGGGGCCGAGCATGATCCAGCAAATGCAGCAGCCGTGCAACGAATGCAAAGGCACTGGGGAGACCATCAGGAAAGACGATCGCTGCCAGATCTGCAAAGGCGAGAAGGTGGTCCAGGAGAAGAAGGTTCTCGAAGTTCATGTCGAAAAGGGGATGCAGAACAGGCAGAAGATCACCTTCCCCGGAGAAGCGGACGAAGCGCCCGAGATGATAACCGGAGATGTCGTTTTCGTTCTCCAACAGAAAGAGCATCCAAAGTTCAAGAGAAAAGGCGACGATCTGTTCGTGGATCACACGCTCTCGCTCACCGAAGCTCTGTGCGGATTCACATTTATCCTCACGCACCTGGACGGAAGGCAGCTCCTGATCAAATCCAAGCCTGGAGAAGTAGTCAAACCAGACGAATTCAAAGCTATCAACGACGAAGGAATGCCGGCGTACCAGAGACCGTTCATCAAAGGAAAACTGTACATCCGTTTCGTTGTGGACTTCCCTGATTCGCTGAGCCAGGAACAGGTTGAGCTGTTAGAGGCGATCCTCCCGCCGAGGCCGAATCCGCTGTATTCTGAGACGGAGATTGATGAATGTGAAGAAACGACCTTACACAATGTTAACATCGAAGAGGAGATGAGAAGGAAGCGCGAAGAGGCGGCTTACGAGGAGGATGATGATAACCATGCGCATGGTGGGGCCCAGAGAGTTCAATGTGCTCAACAATAGAGAAACTACTTCTTCTTAATACTGTAGATTGTTTTGAGATTTCACTCCATCCCTTGGAAAGGTATCATGAAAGCTGGCAATGAAAAAAGCAAAATGATAAGTCCATCCTTTTTGTGTATGCTCAGCCTTCTTTTTTGAGTTTTCTAGTCAAACATAGAGAATATAATAGAGATCTTGTTCATATTATTTTGGTGTTTTCAATAAATATTTCATACTCAAACATCTATGGGTCAAATTTGAAAGCAAAGAATGACTAATTAAAATGTGATAACTAAAATGGATTGGAGTACTTTGTATGTGTGTAGATAGGTAAAATCTAGAGTATATATAATTCAGGTAATTGTAAAAGCATGCTAATAGTCACTTTAGTGGCGTATTTTTTTAGGAATTTTAGTGGGGAGAACTCAATAGAGATATTATTTCATGCATGTCACAAACCGTGAAATACATTAAAAGCTTTTCAAAGATCAACAAGTTGCCAATTGAGTTTTGATCATTCTTAGTATTTATGTTCTCACATTAATATTTGTTAAATTAAATTTAATGTAACTCCAAAATAAAATGAAAGTTCACTATTAGACCAGAGCAAAACCACATGGGTGTTCAAACGAGAGCCGTACGGGTGTACGGGTGTACCGAGAGCCGGCACAATGACTGTTTTCCGGAGTCACTACAGATTGTGTTTCATCACGAGGAGGTTTATGTTTTTTCGATTGAATTATAAGAATTATAATAATTTTTTCGGCAGCATACATTGCATTTTTTATATATTTGACAGTGCGTTATAAATTTCAGGGATCAAAAATGCATGCACACATTCTGGACCAATTCATCAACAGATTTAACGGTATCTTCAAGGAAGGCCTTGTTTTCACTGTCAAAAATTTTTATGGTGGAGGAAAATTACGTGTTTTTAAAAACTTCGACCAATGCTTATAGACTGACTATGTTTCTTCAACAAGAGTGCTTCATTTGAGATCAAGGGTATCCCCTTCCCATTAAGGACTTTCTCACTTGTGTCTTTTGCTTCATTGCAAGCACTGGACGCCATCGATGAGAAATACAGAATTGGTGCGTAGTGCAAGTAGTGCATGACAAGGACCCAAAGACGATTTTGAAGAACGAAAGGTCAAGGGAGCCGATGGAGTTGATTTTGGGTGACACAGAATGAGTTGACAATCGGTCATAAAATTGTTCTAAATTTTTAATGTGATGTTTCTTGATATATTTAAAATATTTATCTTAATGTCTTTGTAAGGGAAACGTCATAACGTGCACCCTTTGGGGACCAATGGTTGAAATGCTATTGACGTACAAGCTTACAACGTCAGATTCAATTGTTATGCTACTGCAGTGTTGCCGGGCTAGGAAGTACCAAGGTCTTTTCTAAGGTCTTACAACTTTATGTTCCTTTATTATTCTTTTACTTACTAACACAGTAAATTTTTGTTAGGCCACGTTCATGTCTCCAACATGTTCAACACAACTAAAGTCATTTTTAACGGAAGTGAAGATGAATTTGTGGAATTCAAGTCTAGGTTAAAAGTTGCAGAACATTTCATTTTTCGATCCTAAAAATACAATTGACACAACAGCTATTGCAACCTTACCGCAAAAAAACCCAAAACAGGATGGCTGAAAGGTCGGGTCAGGGATTGAGCTTCACCATAACATCAGACAACTCCAATGATGGTGACATTGCGAGTGGGCAACGGGAGTTGTTGACTATTGAAGAGCTCAGCAAACTGCAAGAGGTTTGATTGTAGGTTTGAATTTTCAGGAAAAAGTACTTATATGGTCTAACGTTCTGACATATTTGGATGATAAACATGATGGTAAGCACCGGATATATGGAGAAATCGTGGCGATTTGGATGATATATGCAAGGGCTACAAATCATATGAAGACACCATTGCTAGAATCTGAGAGGAAGAAGGTGAAACAAGACTAAGAAGTCAGATGATCGCTGTTGCGATTTCAGAATGCGACCTTCCACCATTTTTTTTCTTATCATTTGATTGGATGATCCAAATCCAGTTTTTCAAGTTGTGGTTGATAGAAGACTTCATTATCTACAACTTTCATGACGGAAGCATTGTCAAATTCGGAAGGGAAGGCACGGTCGTGCCTATAGAAGAAAGGGGTTGCGACTCTCTGGAAGCCAATGCACGATCGTGCCTGGCCCTGAGGCACGATCGTGCCTGATTCCGAAAATCCTATTCCAACTCGAATTCTATCCGTTTTTTCCTATTTAAACAGCCTGTAAACCCGTGTTTTGAGGGAGAGCTTAGAGAGAGGCCTAGGGACGAAATTTCTTCTACTTTTCCATCTTGTTATTCAATTCCCTTGGATTATTTGTAAGTTCCTACTTTTTAATTAATGATAATTAATTCTATTCTTCTCAATTCTATTGATTTTCAATTATGAGTTGTGAGTAGTTTTAATTAGGGATTTGAGATTGATGAAGGGGTTAATTATGATGTATGGCTAAAATTCATGATGGATTAATTGCATGAATATTGATTTAATTTGTGTTTGAATGATTTAATTGATATCTATTGTAACATAGTGATGGAGTATATGGCCCAGGGACCCCCGGCCCACATACTTTCACTATTACAATCAAGCCCAACAGGCCCAAGCAGGCCAAGCCCAGCAAGATGGAGCTCTAAGCGGCCCACGATACATGAATGAGAGCCTTCGGCCATGGGGCCGAAGACTACCAATGACGGAATTGGGCTCAGAAACATCACAGGAGAACAAGTCTGGAAAACCGAGCCTTCAGCAATGGGAGCCCTCGGCACCATGAGGCCCCCAGTACGCAGAGCCTTCGGTTGGTCATCTACAGCCGAAGGCTTCCTCCTCGACAGAATCTTCCATCCACATGCACTGGATCACCGTACCAAGTACAAACGTCACATCCAACCACCGCATTTACTGCGGCCACATGCGAATGCCAGTACCACCCCGGTTGAGGTGACCTCTCGACCATCAGGATGCTGACACATGTCCCTATCTAGCATTTATTGCTACTATAAATAGCTGATATGCACTAATTAGTAGTGCATTGTTTTTATGTTTGATTTGTGTGGATTGTTTACCGTTTTAGTAATTTGAGAACATTTGTTTGATTTTAATTGTAGTTGTATTTTAATCCCCATTTGTGAGTTGTAAAGTAGAATTAGGAATTATGGTGTTAAAAAGGAGGACTTTGAAGTGAAGCAAAAGGAGATTGGACTGTTCAGGAGCTGAAACCCGATCGGGCATAAACACCTGACCCGATCGGGCAAGATTTAACAAACGAAGGTGACTGGAAATTGCACAGACCCGGTCAGGTCCCCTCTACCACCCGGTCGGGTCGGATTTGACCCGGGACAATTTAACGTGCAAAAACACAAAAACGTGGAAGATTATCTGATCTTGACTTGCACCCGGTCGGGTGGGCCCTTTACCCGGTCGGGTACCCGACCAAAGGTGTTGTATGTTGGAAAAATGTGTTAAAAATTGCATTAAATGGTCATTTTGGGGCAATTATTTGAGTGGGGTCCACTTCCGATTTGGGTCGGGTCAAAGTGGTTTCGGATTGTCCTTGTTAAGGGCTACAATTCGATATATGGTACGCTCAAAACGGATAACGGGTGAATGAGAAATTGATTCTCGAAGTTCGCTCGTTGAAATGGAAAAACTGGGAAAATGATGAGTTTCTAGTGTGTTTTATCCCACACCGAAAAACTCAAGGGATTTTCACCCCCTTATTAAGGGAAGCCTCTTTTAAGGAGTTAAGATTCCTAAAGGGAAAGGCTCTCTCTTACGCGCAGGGGGGGGGGGTGCCGATCAAATCCTGAAACGGAGAAGAAAAACCGCGACTCGTGTGCGCGGACGACCTGCGGACACGAATGCCGTCCAAAAATCTATCTCTCAAGAGACCCTCCAAGGGGGTTCTGTTGGCTTCGGACAGAAACCCTTGAAGGGGGTTCTGTTGGCTTCGGACAGAAACCCTCCAAGGGGGTTCTGTTGGCTTCGGACAGAAACCCTCCAAGGGGGTTCTGTTGGGGTCTTCTGTCGCGCACTTCTTCCGTTACAACAATTAATGCCCAACGTTCTTCTCTTTTAATGCTGCGTTAAATGGACAGTTTATGGACGATTCAATGCCCAACGGACTGGTCATTGATGTCCAACGTTCAGGTCCATTAACACCCCATTTAACACACAACAAATCCTCCTATAAATAGCTGGCAGGTGCTTTGCAACAAACACACGGTTTGACAACGCACAACACTTTCCTCACGTTTTCTTGAGCTAAAAACTCTTCCAGCTACTCCCAAATTTCCTCTGTGTTCATACTTGGTTCTCGTTCGTTGGAACTCTTGTTTGTGTGCTCAAACATTAGTTCGTAGTCATCGAATCCTGGGAAACGATTGTTGCAACGCTCCTAGCACCGTGGGAGGCAACAAATACGTTTTAAGGAAATCGTGCGTAGCACGAGCTTTGGCTAATTCTGCTTCATCTCCTTTCTTGTTTTTCTCTAGTCATTTTATTTAATTAATTTATTTTAATTAATTTTCTTTATTTTCCGAAACACACCCAACAATCTTAAAACGTATTTGCCTTGGTTGTTGTACTGCGGTAAACAATCTTAAATCGTAGTTTGTCACTTTGGTGAACGAACTTATTTTTTTGTGTTTTCGGAAAAACGTTAAAGAACGAAAATGACTTCTCAAGAAAACGAGATTGGTGTTGGGCAGAATGTTCTGAACGACAATCACTCTGAAAGTGGAGCACCGGTGAACAATGGTTCACAACGCGGTGCATCTACTTTGGCCAACCAAAGGGCTATCCCTATGGTGACCGTGCCAAGCAACTCTGTGGAGAAACCCGAGAAATTCAACGGGTTAAACTTCAAGAGGTGGCAGCAAAAGATGCTATTTTACCTCACTACTCTCGGTCTTGCTAGATTCTTGACCGAAGATGCGCCGGTAGCAACCGGGGGTGAGGTGGATGCGCAATCTTTCAACGCGTTTGAAGCTTGGAAGCATTCTGACTTCCTTTGCCGAAACTACGTGTTGAACGGGCTGCATGATGCTTTGTACGACGTTTATAGCAAATTAGCTACGGCTAAGGAGCTATGGAATGCTTTGGACCACAAATATAAAAGCGAGGATGCCGGCGCAAAGAAATTTGTTGTTGGTCGATTCCGTGACTTTAAAATGGTGGATTCGA